AGTACCTGTGCCTTGCGGGGCCTGCCGCACCGCGCCGGGCCCGCTGCCCCGGGGCCCATCCGCCGCGGGGCTCCCGGGGCCGGGCGGCGACTTCCCTCCCCCGCCCCTGCGGCCGTTTCCAACCCCTAGGGCTGACCCTCCTGGTATGCCCACTGGTCCCCGCCCCTGGCTGGCCCGGGGACTGGCCCCCACCAGGGCCAGCACTGTCCCCCTGAGGCTGGGGGGGGACCCCAGCATTGCTCCCCCCGAGGCCTGTGCCCCAGTCCCTCGCCCTGGTGGGGACCCCTGTACTGGTTTCCCAAAGCTGTTTCCCTTCCCCTTGGGACACCCTGGCGGGACTCCTCTCCCGGGGCTCTCTCTGGGGGAGGGCACCCCAAAACTTCTCCCCCTGGCACTCTGCCTTGGCCTCATTCACTGCAGCATCCATCCCCCCTTAGGGCCAGCTTTTGTCCCCCGTATTTTACTCTGCCAGGGCTGGCTCTATCCCCTTCTCCTGCAGTGGCCCCAGCACACTCCCCTGGATTGACCCCACCTATGGCTGACACCCTTCCACCCGAGTTCACCCCCATGCCGCCTGGGACCCCCCATGCCGCCTCCCCTCCCCAGGGTGATGCTCTTTGAATATCCCTGACCCTGTGGTGCTCAGCCCAGCCCCGTCTCCCTGCAGAGCCCCAGGGCAACAGGTTGGGAAGGGGACCAGAGAACCTCGGGTGGGTGCTGGGGATGGGGAGAGGGTTGTTCTCCCCCTGTGCAGGGGCCTGTCCTTGGAGCGGGGAGAGGTGCTTCGTGTGGGACTTGCTTGGGCTGGGTTAGAGGGCTCTGAGCAATTGGCATCTCCTGCTGAGCTCAGCGGGGTTTGCAGGTGCATGGTGCTTGGGCATGCTTGGCCTCTGCAGTCCCTGTCTCCCTTCTCGTGAAGAGCCAGCTCTATAAATGGATAAATCCTGTAAACAGCTCCTCTCCCTCCCCGCGGCGCTGCGAGCCCTTGTGTCCTGCTGGTCACAGAGCATCAGCTGGGCCCTGCGTGCCAGGTCGAGCTGAGGGTCCAGGGATGATATTTCCAAGGAGGCGTGTGGTGCTGACCTGCCTGAACACAGAGCTGCTCGGCCATGCTGCCGGGGAGCATCGTGCCTCTTCTTCCTGAGGTGGGGGGAGTTGTTTACAAAGCGACAGCCTGTGTCTCAAACGGCTCAGAAACTCATCCGGGGATGAGAGTCATTCATTTTTGGCTTCATTTTCAAGCATTTTTCAAGCTGTCACAGCTTGGCAGGTCTGTAGCTGCAGTGTCAAGATTTAGAATTATTCTGTCGGTAATTGCTTTCTGATTCATCAAAATGATAGATGAGAGGGAAAATGACAAATAATCACAAGTTGGGGATCTTCAAGGATATCCCTAAAAATGTGAGTGGAGAAGCATGGCATGTGCGAGTCCCTTGTCAGGAGGTCACCTTTGCTGTCAGAGCATTTACGAAGAAATTCTCTTAAATTCAGAGTTGGGGGAAAAAAAAAAAGGGTAACTGGAAAACGAGCCCGTGAGCCAAACTGCAACAATAATTCAATCTTTGGCCTTTTTTGCTGAGCCTGAAAGCAGGTATCATCACCTCGGGCATCAGCAAGCTAAAAGCAAAATACAGCTTCTGTGCTTATCTTCCCTACCTGAAGGGGGAGGGTGTGTGTGCTCTGGTGCTTGTTTTTTTTCTTCCCTCAGATATACCAGCTTGTCTAATAAAAGCTATTACCGCTCTCTCCTACTCATAGCCTCAGACTAGCACAGCTACGAGTTATCTCTTACTTGTCTTGTTCCCTTAGTTACATTTACAGAGACTGTCTTTGCCACAAGTCCCTTCGTTTTCAGAAGCGTTGTGGGAGTTGTGTGGTTACATCTCTTACATCTTTTTTTTTTTTTTTTTTTTTTTTCCCTTTCCTTCAAATGTTGGAGTTCGGTGACTCATCATAACTCCAGCTGATATTTCTCAGTGATCTCTTATTTAGCACAGTGCATCAAGCAGAAGATGTATCACAGTCAGAGGAGAGCTGGTGATACCACCGTGGATTTTTTAAAAATAATAATAGAAAAAAGACAGCACGGCAGTTGCTTGTTGCTGTTTGCTTTTGCTTTGGTGGGAAAAAGGTCTACAGGCTGTTTCTCCAAAACCAGTGACCCTGCGTAGGCTCATGTACTGGAGGCACGGGCCTCTCCAGCTCTCCTCCACATCGCCGTGCTGAAAAGCCTGTGTGTGTGAGTGTTTTTCTTCTGATAAGGGGAATGCTCCCCAGCTTGACATAACTCCCTTTGTGGGGGTAGTTCTCAGCAGCTGGGTGTGAGGCTTGGTTCATCTCTCCAGGCAGAGACCATTTGGAGCAGAAGATAAAAAAAAAATGTAGAAAGTATAACGAGGATACTCCAACAAGAGCCGAGTTCAGCTCAGTTGGAGCAGAACAGCTTTGTTTTGCAAGACCCAGCCTTTCCCAAAAGCGGGGCTTGGTTTTATTTCCCCTTCCTAAACAGACAAACATTTGTGGACTGCAGTGGTAGTTGCAGTCACTCCTGGAGCTGTGCGTGCCATTTGTACAACATTCTGTCTTCAGAGGGCTCAGCAAACCTTCAGTGCAAATCGTGACTCACCAGGATAATCATCTTTTGTCTCTAGGCATGTGTGTGCCTGTATTTGCAGAGGAAGGGAGGCAGAGAGGCTAAGGGAGCTTTTGAAGGCTGCAGGTGGTAGGGAGGGAACGGATGTGTCTTCCTCTCTCAGCCTCACCTTGCTGCCTCGGACTGTAGATGGAGCAATGCGCTGCTGTTCTTGGCGCTGATGGGGATTTTGAACTTCGTCCTCATTAGTATTTCTACACACAGCGGCTGTTTGCAATTTGTGGTGTTACAGAGGAGGGTTTGGCTCTATTTCGGGTAATGTAGGGTCTTTGCTGCATCTTCTCTTACTCTTATTTTAGATCTAAGCAGGACACTTGAGCTATTTCAGTGATCTTGAAGGAAGGCAGAATGATCCCGTGGAAGGACACTGGTCTGGGAACTGGCCAACTTGACTTGCATTTCCAGCTCTGCCGTCCTCTGGTGTGTAACGAGGGGCTTGTGTGGCCTAACAGCACGGTTAAGCAACGTGTTTTAATTCTAACTTAAACAGAGCTGATCGTGCTCAGCCTGCTTTGT